TCCTTGCTGATTTGTGTCAACTCTCACATAATTGTATTACATTCACACAAGCCACGCTTCACGCTTGTTCTGGAGTGACTATTTCACGAATGGAAAATACCCCTGAGTATCCAAGACTTCGATTACGAGGTGTACCGAAACTTCTAAGTGTTCAGTGTAGCCACATAACCTCGTGGTCTGGGTCGGTTATGGACTCGCAAGTCCAGACCAGGCACGTGTGATTCGGAATTACTGAGAGACTGTCCGATATGTTCCCTACACACGCAGTGAAAGTAGATAGACGAGAAAGAGCGACAGCTTGTTTGTGTCTTAGCACCAGGGGGGCGCCCTAACCCCGGTCTAGCGGGACTCTGCCTTCTTGGTCGATTTCGAAGAGCTGTCGTGTCCCAATACGACAGTCCTTCCAACACAATCAGGTCGATTTCGAAGTTGCTCACTCAGCGACCGAGAACTCACATGGAACTCTGATATGATCGAGGACGGTACTCCACGACGCATTAGCCAGCAACACTGGACTTCAAGTTACTATTGAGACGCGCATCTTTTGAACGGGCACAAGTCCCACTGGACGCGTGTGATGCGATAACTCTGAATGCAACACTATCACAACGGAGTGGTTCCAAGATCCGGCCGCCAAGTTTCTCAGCCACCATTATTCAGGAGTCCGGAATATAATGTTGTTGGCCTTAGGCACTGTAAGTTCATGTGCTTATCTGTCAGTCAGATAACAACAGCCTAAGTAGGAGAGGTCCAGCACCCCATCCTAGAACCTCAACACTCCGGGCAGAGATATGTGGTCCTAGCAGACCGGCCATCGCCAGTCTCAGCGGACCAGTAAGCCTCATCACAACATACCAACTTGCACGCTTTCGTAGTATTTCGTTGGCAATCATTGACAGAAATGCCAAGGCTACGCAGCAAAACGCCTATGGGCAAGCCATTACTCTCTTCCTAAGATCTAGCGAGATGCTTAATTAACTGGGGCTAGCAAATAAGCTTGCTAGCAATGCTTTGCTTGCCGAGAAACAGTGGCTTGTCCAATCAAGGCTGTTTGTTCGTTTCGTGAAGAACATTACGATATCAGTGTCATACATTAATGCTCTTGACCGGTACCTTCTCCCTTACCGAGGCATCTTCATGCGACTTCTCGAAGACCTCCATGTTCGGATGTGTGGTATGGTAGCCTGGCTCGACTGTTCTACCGCCCTTGGATCTGAACACACCGCCGGTGATGCCACGCTTCTCGAATAGATGGTTGATGTCCTCGAGCTGAAGCCGGCTGCTCTCTGGGAAGAAGCAGTAGACGATGGGCATCTGCGTGAGCGCGCCGTCAGCGAGTGTCTCAGCTACGTGTGTTCGGGAAAGATGCTCACCCAACAAGCGCTGAAGACAGCAAAGATGATGAACGTCCGCCACCCGATACTATCAATAGCAATCGGCGTAGTCTGGACCACAGTAAAGACGCACATCCAATTGGTGAAGCCGCCAAAGGCCTAAAAGCGATGGGTGTAAGGGTCAGCGGATGCCTCGAAAGTGTTCGGGTATCTGGGACGTCTCAGGTGGCCTTAGTGGTTCTACCCATCAGCACACGTACCTGTCCTCGGCTCCGTATCCGGGTAGTCGTCACCTCGCTAGGATAGAACCACGGTATCGGAAGCCAGCCGAGACCTATGAAGATCTGGAACAAGAAGATCATGGCTATAGCTCCGTAGGACGCTCCAAGTGAGCCAACGCTGAGTAGGATCGAGGTCATGGCAAAGCAGAAGCAGAGTCCAGCTGCTGACCACATGAGTAGCGTACGGCGGCCGAAGCGGTCGACAACGAAGAGCGGGATGACGGAGCCGGCTAGGTATGTGAGGGAGGTACAGCCGCCCAGGATCAGCGAGAGGTTCCGAGACAGGCCCACGGCGTTGGTGTAGACTACAGGAGCATAGTAATTGATCCTGGAGCAATAGTGTAGGTGTCAGCGGATGTCTCAAGCTTTGAAGACCTTGCCAATCACTATGCTCACATGTTCGCTCCGGTGAATTGTTGCATCAGGTTCACCATACCGCAGAGTATCAGTCGCCTGAAGTTCTGGATCTTGCCACCCTTGATCAGTTCGCTGTACTGGAAGGGACCACCAGCAGGCTCGATCTCGATGGATGACTCAATTTGGCGTCGGAGAAAGACGACTTCCTCGTCCTCGGGTGTAGCGTCATTCGATTGCAGGCGGGCAAGAATGAGACCGGCCTCGGAGATGCGGCCTTTCTCGATCAACCACCTTGGCGTCTCAGGGAGCAACAGCATCTGCAGGACGAGAAAGACGGCGAAGAAGGCTTGAAACTACCTGAATGGTTGAGATCAGCAAGTGACATATGATGAGGAGAATAGAACTGTTGGATTTGACATGCGCTGATGGGAAAGCGCCATTGGACGCCACCGGAGACGAAGGACAAGCCATAGTCGAGCCTGACAACCGCATCAGTGTTACATCGTACTATTGATCAGACGTAACCGATGCTCACCAGTAGGCAATGCAAAGTCCAACGATCGTCACTGTGCCCTGAGCACAAAGCAGCATGCCTCGTATCTCCGGTCGAGCGAACTCAGACTGGTATGCGGGTACAGTCGAGGAGTTGAAACCGTTGCCTATGCCTGTCACGATTCGACCAACCAGAACCTGTGCCAGGGTGTTCGACGAGCCAAGCAAGATTGTGCCCACTATCATCGTACTGCCGCCTGCGAAGATCATAGCCTTGCGCCCAAAGCGCTCGCCATAAGCGAAGCAGAAAAGACAGCCTGCTGCGCATCCATATCGTATATGCTTGTGATGATTCCTTGCATGGTAGGCCCTGAATTGCCGAACTGCGCTGCAAATGCGTTGTCGGCACCGACCAATCCGCTCATGACTCCTTGGTCATAACCGAGGAGGAGGAAGGCTTGACACGATGCCGCTGAAGGACGTCAGGATCGGCGTTGTTGATAATGTTTTCCTTCTAGATATCTTACCTGTGACTGCCCAATGCAGCCGCCGACCTTTCAGACCTCCAGTCGTCGAACGAAAGCCCATGTTGTACAGACCGTACTCGTTGGACGCAGATAGAAGGTTGAGGCGTGAGTCATTGCGGCAGGACAGTAGTATATACTCGCCATTTGAAGCGATTCATGCATAGTTCAGAGCATTTGCGCAGGCCGAGAGCTGTCCAAACCGCACGGGGGTGGAGAGTGCTTGTGGGGAAGTGACGATCGTTCTGTAGCTTCGGCAGGACAAAGATACGAAAGCTCGGTGTAGATGCCGCCGAGAGTGATTTGTGAGACGACTCATCAAATGTCGACTGCCTTTCTACGCCAGCATTTTTGGACTTACCAAGCCTCCAAGCTACGGCGACAGGAAACGCTCAAAGTATCGTTCTAGCTCTGGGACCGTATCCGTGCCCTCACGCTTCTCCTTCGGACATCGTCTCCTTTAGACATCACAATGCCGCCAGTCAATACGACAGCCAAGTCACCTACTTCTACCATTCGAGGACATCCCAGGTTGGATATGACAGCCCGACTGAGATATTCGGAATCGAGGGGAAATGCTCCACCAACCTTGTTCTTCGGCGGAATGGATCGTGTTCAGCGGTGGCGACGGCTTCGTGAAGATTGGCGCAACGCCGGGCTGGTACCAACCGGCTGCTGTCTAGGTACTCGCCTAGGGCAGCTTGTTTACAATACTTAGGGGAGAGGAGCACAGAATGGGCAAAATTCGTGGAGAAGAGCAAGTTCTTTTCAACAATCTGCCCCCGATAGATAGCTTTTCTTGAAGGACCAGATGGATGACCCCAAGGTCATACCGCCGCAACAACGGGGATGGGCCCGTGAGCGGGACTGACTGTACTTATTATCTTGAGACCTCCATAACCCTGCGATACAGAGGCTCTGGGAGGCGTAGTTTGCACTACTGAGGAGCTACCCCCACGTTAAATACAAAACAAACAAACAAACAAACAAACAAGCCGGGCTGGTACCAGCGTTATGAAAAGGCCTTCGTGCACGAGGCTCGCGAATCAATCAATGCCTTGCTCGACAAGAAGCCTTCGCCCGTGACATTGACGTCCGCGTTGGCGCCTCTTTAAATCGCTATTGCGCTCCAAGTGTCACCAGTGGCTGGTCGCAAGATCTACTTCGCTCGAGAGGGAATGCAGAAAGGGATAGAAGCCAGCCTTAGACTTGGGTAGATGTCATGCATACTTCTGCTCCCACGCACAACCTATTCGTCGTCCATCCCATCGGTGAAATGCGTAACACTCCTGCGGTTGCCCCTTGCGCACTGATTTGAGACGTGCACCCGCCACTTCCCCTTGCAGCTACCCATTTAGCCACAGTCCGTTGGACTGTCTTCTAGTCCTGGGTCCTTACTCAGAGCAAGATTCATCCTCACAGCCGGCATGCCAGCCGTCTCGGCCCGGGCCATTGCGGTGATTACATTTGTGCTTTCGATCCTGGTCCTGATCATGATATTGCTTGCTGAGCGACATTCTTAATGTGGGATTCTTCACGGTCATGCATGCCAAAGGCCTCGTCCGGTTTCTTCGAACCAATTGGAGCATTTGAAGCAATCGACATCTGATTAAGGGGCTGGACAATTGGCTACCTCCAGGAAAGCCTATTGCTGGGTATATCCTCTTCCTGTTCGAAGCTGGACTATCAGCAGGCAGCAAGAAGTCCAAGAACATATGATAGTCTTGAGCAGGCGTCATGTCCTTGAGGGCTGTCATGTTGCTCTGCACCATCCTAGAGCTCGCACGAGTCATGGTGACAAGTAAGACCGGAGTACCCAAATGGGTAACTCCGGTGCGCCGGTACCGCGGGCCCCAAAAATGGGGTTTTGCGCCGGAGAGCGGTTCCTCCTTGGCCCACCTTAGCTTACCGTACCATACCATAAAACCGCATTCTCAACCTACCCTCCCGCACGGCTAATGTTTCACCGTGTCCAGCAGCCAGGTGAAATACCTACGTAACAGTGATCGACCATGAGCCACTCACCCTCGCCATCTAATGTCCTCCTGGACTCGGTAGTAGGGGCTATAAACAGCGTCTCTTCGTTCCTAGCGGACGACCAGATACGCGATGGCGCGGATCTGTCCAGTCTCTTCTATCCGATGGCAGACCCAGATACAGACGCTCAGAGAGCCGACTCCGAAACCCCTCCAACCGATGTCGTTGTGCTTTGCGCTTCTGCCGTTTTGTACACAGCTGAGGTTGTCTTCACCACTATCCATAACCTTCCAAAAACAAGAGGTATGGGCCGAGGACGTCGCGATCGAAAGCAACTAACTGACGCTCAACGCAATGAAGCGAGAACATACCCAGCCGGCACGACAATAAAGCCGTGCCTTGTGCTTGTTATCTGCGGTGGTATCGGGCATTCCACCCGCTATATGCACGAGGCTGTCTCGCGACATCCGAAATACAAGCAAATCGCCCAAGGTCTACAAGATAAGGCAGAAGCTGATGTCCTGCGAGCGATTGGCGAACGATTCTTTGGGCTCGACTGCGACACCCAGGATAGCTTCACGGTCTTGGTCGAGAACAAGTCAACGAATTGTGGAGCGAATGCATCGATGACGCGGAAATTGCTGGAGTCCCAGGGCGTTCACTCACCTCGTTCAATCGTCGTGGCCCAAGACCCTACAATGTGCCGACGGACGAGGGCAAGCTTCGAAAAAGTGTATGAGGATCATAAAGCAAGCCGCCCTCACATTGTGAGCTGGCCGACATTTGTACCGCAGGTCAAGCTGGCAAAGGGTGTGCCCAATGACGAGATGAATGACCTGCTGGCCCGACTGACCTTTGATACTTCTCATACTCCAGGGTTGGATACGGCTGGGATGTGGAGTATGGACCGTTTCATTGATCTTATCATGGGAGAGATACCGCGATTAAGAGATAATCCAGAGGGTTATGGGCCCAATGGCAAAGGGTTCATTGCCCACGTGGATATACCACATCATGTTGAAGAAGCATGGCAAGTTCTCAAGGGCGCTGTACAGATACGGAGCGAGCGATGATAACTTAGTGAAAAATCACGGTTGCAGGTACACTTCTAGAGTGGGAGAAATCCCATCACGTTATGGGCACCATTTACAAGCTCAATGCGAGTAGCGGCATTTGAGACCACGTGGTTGAAGCGCTCTGTATTGCTGAGAGCACTGCAGCCTGCAGTCGTCTGGGGGAACAGACGGTGCCATCGTGTTTCCAGGGCCGTCCAGTGGTCTTCACGAAGTGCAGTTTCTGTCAAACAAGCGCTTCCTCACCGTAATGATAAGTGGGAGCAGGGCAACACACCAAGAGTCAACAGTCCAAAACATAAGTCCAAAACTGTATTATCCCTGGAACCAGCTAGTTGTGTATCCTCTACCCATCATCATTCGTCTCTAGAACCAGCTAGTGACGTCTCCTCCGCTCATCATGACCCATACCCTCACCCGCGAAACGCCCAGGACACGTCAATCCCGAATGGATCACGTCTCGGGCTCCGCATGGTCACACTTTGGACATTTCTCGTCTTTGTACATCCCGTCACAGTTCGGTTTGTTGGGGTTTTTGCACCTGAGATCCACCCATCCACAATCTGGACATTTGTTGTTGTTCATGACTGAATCGCAGATTTGGCACAAGTCACCGGCCATGGCGTCGTGGTTTGGCTGACAATTGCTGAAAAGATGTGATATGCTGCAACAATCATTAGCAGGAGCTTCGGCGAGATGGGGAACACGCTGTATGGAAAGGGGGGCTCAGTTTGTACGATAGAGCAGGTCTGGAAGGGCGCGAGGTGAGGTGTGAAAGGTACCACTCGTGTTCTTTGGTGTTTTGTTTCTGGCTTCCTGGCAGGTGCGTGTATAGTCGACTGGGGTGTTCTCGCTTGTGTTGTTTGCCTTTGTTCTTGATAGTCGAAAGGGAACAGGGATAGGTGCATCTGTGGTTGACTGGGGTATTGTTGCTTGGGGCTTGTGAATTGTTCGCTTTCGTTATTGATAGTCGAAAGAGAGCGGAACTAGAAATTGCAGCACAGCGCGGCAGATTTATACACTTCCGTACAGCCAAGATGTGTTTGCCTTAGGCATAGGGAACAAATTCACTTCCAACATTCACCTCCAACATTCACTCCAAACATTTACTTCAAACATCCACTTCCAACACTCGCCGTTCTCAGACAAAGAGCCTCGCGCAGTGACATGCTCAGGGGGCTGATGATGGGTCATTCGCCGACCAGTGGTCGGCGGCCACTATACAGCGTCACGTGATACTGGGTACCTCCTGTGTCTCATATTAGCCCAGGCCGTTCATTCACTACGGCCGCCATAGACGCAGGCGGTTCTGGTAGTGCCATTTGGCTGAGAAGATGTTCTAAGCGGTCCCAAATCACTATCTGGTACTTTATAACCCAGATCTATGTGTCGCGAGTGAGTCTCTAGGGCTCTTTCCTCCAGCGGCATCTCCCCAACGGCAAGGGGGTTTCGGAGAGGGGTGGGGACCTTGGGCCCGTAGTGGTGTACCGATACTTCTGCAGGGTAGGGAGGGACCTTCCGGGGTCGCGTTCTCGTGCCATGCATTCCCGCTGCATCCATATGTCCACATCGAGATTCGAAAGTTTAGGTCAACATAGAAGTCACACACAATATGTGAAGCCCAGGTCTGTCTAGGGGTTGCCAGCTAGCCACGTGAGGTAGGCTTATCCCAAGCTGCCTTGTGGATGTCATGCGGCATGCTGCGCCACTCCCGTCGCCACCTGCCTGCCTGTCGGTGACGAGCTAGGGAGGCGGTGCATCAGGATTCAACCTTGAACACCACCTCGATGGAAGACGACCTCATTCCCCTGAAGTATATCTATCTGTGTAGCTGCTACAGGCTCTCGGGAACTCGAAAGCTGCACAAGACTCTTTCTTCCCTTGATTCAGACGACATTAGCTCCAATACCGACGACCATGGACCAAAAGCATGTCGCAGGCAACCACAGCCAGAGCGGCGGATCAGTCGTAAGGGCCGCTCCTTTCGCATCATTATCGATGCACTCGTTCGACCGGTGAGCCTCGTCGTTCTCCCCCTCTCGAAGTTGGTGTGCGTTAACAGCTCACTAGCCTACGTCTCCTCGGCTTCCCGTCAGAAATACAGCAGTTGGTGCGCCAAACCCTCCAGGCCCACTGGCCGCGTGGAGTCCAAGAAGAGCGTCCCTACGGCGGCTCCTACGAGTTCAAACTGAAGGGAAACCCCTGGCGAGCGCTGAGCGAAGATGGCGTGACAGCCCGCCGCCTCATCACCCGCCTCCTCGAGGCCCTCTTCAACGTTGGCTGGGTGCTCAACCTCAGCGCCGACGTATCTTGCAAGCAGCGCGACATCGACACGCTGATCTTCCGCCGGCAGGCGGCGCCGCCCTCACCCTGCGACTGGATGTGTATGTACTTCACGAGCGGGGACCGTATCCGTGTCATCGACGCGCCGCACGACTTCGAGGCCGCGCTCAAGCGTATGCTCGGCGCCGCCGTGCAGACCGACAAGGGCTACACGTACCGCGGCGGCTACGAGCTGAAGATGAGGGGGTGGCCGTGGCGTGCCTCGGGCGAGGAGACCATGCTGGCGCGCCAGATGGTCTTGGATATGCTCTCTCTGCTTGACGAGCATGGGTGGAGTGTCTATGCCTGCGTGGACCAGAAGGAGAAGCCTGGTGGTGATAATGACAGCATCGGGGACGCCGATACGTGGCACTGTCGTCGAGTACAGGGTTGGGCACCGGGGCTGCCGGCTTATAATCTGAAGTGAGATGGACACGACTTGCTCCCTCTGTATGAACACGTGCCGCTGAGGTGTCCCCATGATTCTCCGTTGGTGATGAGCCCTCGCTCTCCACTCCCGTCCGTTATGATATTTGACAGTACCTTCCCCTTCGACCTGGACTCAGGATTGGCTTCCCGTCTCCAGTGCGCGGCTACCTGGGAGGTGCGCGGTTATCGTGTGTGACGATCAGGCCTGCAGTACAACTGGTCAGGACTGATGGATAGATAAAGCTAGATTCAACGATCTACGAAGAAGGAAGAAGGAAGAAGGCAGGCCGCTTCAGGTGAGAGGTGGGCCTCCCATATATATAGGTACATGTGGAGGTACAATGTACTTGTACCGTAACATCGTGTACGGCTGCTCTTCCTGTTCTCTACGATGTACGTTAGAACACGTGGGGTCGAGTCTTCAGTTAGGGGACTATGTCTTGTCATTGATACGCGACTTATCTTTGCAATCGCAGTGATCGACCTCAAGCACCTATACCTCAGGGTCGAAGTACGATCTTCGAGACGCAGTCCTCCCCCCAAGCACCGGCTTTTCACCACCTGGGCCAATCTACTCCTATTGGAATCAAAAGCTCTATGGTATTGGTAGAACCAGGGGCTGCAACCTGTAGATATCGGGGGATGAGGTGCTGGTATTGCAGTAAGGGGGTCGGTCCGTGGTGTTGCGGCAGGAAAACGATTGGAATCTGCTTCCTATAGGCCTCTTGTGGTATCCCCTTGACCTCGTCACCTGCCCATAGTCAAAGCTCCTTCTTTCCAGCGATTCAGGAGGCAGGCTACGCTTAATCCCGTCAGCCAATTCCGGAGCGATTGTTCGGCCACGATATTTATGCTTGTAGCATGAAACATTATAATATACTTAGTTGCCAGAAAGTTTCAGCTTAATACTTACATATTGGTACCAACACGTATAAAAACACGAAAAACATACGTCGAGTCTGAGTGAAATATATGGCTTGAGGCTGCAAATGGGTAGCGAGATTAGCATCACGTGAGCGGAAAGAAGGCGCTTTGACAATGGGCAGGTGATAAGGTCAAGGGGATACATGTCTTTGACCAGGACCTGATCTACCCGTGAAGGTCAGGCCTTGGAAAGTGCAGTTGGCTTCCCCAACGTGCACGTGACCATAAGGATGAGGACGAGGGACCTGTATAAGGTAGGTATGTAGGCAAATAATGAAAAACTTTCGCCTGAGGTTGAGTTAGGTGTATGCTTGTACCTAAGTACCGAAAATCACTAAGGGTGATAATCTGAACGTGCATTGACCTGCAATCGTAGCTGCTTGTTCCACACCGAATTTCTTGTTCCGCCACATGTCCTCTTGTTGCACGCCGCCGTTCTTGCTGCTCGAAATCTTCGAGTGCATCTGACCTGCACACCTGCCCAAAATCATCACAAGACCATTTCATCCCATCTTCTCGAGCCAAGCTGCTGTCATCTTGCGTTCACGTAGGTTGATTTGCACAGCTCGTTGAAGATTGTGGGGTACTTCCAGCCGTATTGACAACTTGGCATCTGGAGCTTGCCCATTGTCCGGTTTCCCTTACAAATCTTCTAACGCTGTTGTTCTTGTTGCCCACCACCGTATTCAACAACACGTACCTGCACTCCGACTTCACAATCGCCGCAACCATCGAGCACTTCTGTCGCTGGAATCACACCCATTCTTTGATTACCCCTTCTTCCGCTTCTATATTGAGCCCTTCTGTCTTCCAAGTCTCCAGCCGTGCATGAACGTGGGCCAACCATGCCATCCTTTGAGAACTTCCCTATCATCGTTCTGCACTCCGATCGAAGAAGCCTGGGGGCCTTTTCGCTCGCTGACAGGTTTTGCCTTTCTGTAGCCGACGCGGAACGGTTCAGTAAATCTAGCTCACGGTGGTTGATCAGGAAAGTCTAGAAAATAACTTGCAACAATGGTACTCGGTACTCGGTCCCAATCGCCGCTTCCGCTTCGTTCGCCGGCTGAAGGTCATGGGTTACACGAACGACACATTGGATGAACCGGAAACAGACGAAGATGTCACCGACCAGAACTACCTCGGCGGTACCCCCAAGCTATTCGACATGCCGGAATTCCTACAACCGCAGACAAAACCTATGGGATACCGTGACCGCGGTCTGATGCCCCGACTAGATCCAGAAGCTTGGGATTCTCCGGCTATTTTCATTGCCAATCTACCAGGCCTCAAAGATCTGGTCTGGAATGTCTGGGCACACCCAAACCAGATGCCGTCTTGCATCCTCGCAGCAGTCCATGCTCTGGGCTGTCGCCTGCATATGCACACCTTCAGCATCCGCAACCTGAGACAGGATCCAGAAAACCACGACGAGCCTCACCCAGACGACCTGGCTCTCGCCACATCACCGTCTTTACATAGCATCGTTGCCCATCGCAGTAATTTTGCTAGCCCTACTGCCACGGACGATTACCCGCATAAAGCCATCTTTCAAATGATGGCTGGTGCCGCACCGCGACTGGCGCATGTGTGGATGCGATCAGTCGACACGCTTGATGCACGGGGTCTGCAAGAAACGACCACTCTTACCCGGTCGTCCTTGGTCGAATTCTTCCCTGTGACAGAGGTGGCAGATCAAGGCGCGCGGGGCAGCCTCAAGGGCCTAGTCATGCGCGAAATGGCTCTGAACTATACCTCGATCGATCCCTGGATTCACCATACGGACTTTGCCAACTTGGTGCGGAGGGCCAGCTCGAAGAAGCCGAAGAGAGCGTCTACACAACGACCAGGGAACAGTTGTGGCCGGAGACGACCGGAAACTGGTGGGACAACTGGAAGAGCTTTCCTCTTTCCGACGAGTCGGCATAAGACCTCCGGATGGATTCCCCACCAGTAGTCAACATGTTCCTCAAGATGCTCCATTGCAAGTACGGGGTTAGCTAGGAACTGACAGAATACATGTATGAAACCAAAGCCCAGTGTTATTCCAGTGTTTTCGCTTTTGAGCAAGCTTCAAACTGCTGCTTCTTCCACTGCACGTAATACTGTGAACCACATATCGCAATGCTTATGATCTGTCGTTGCCCATGTCGGTGCCCAAGTCGATGCCCATGTTCTTGCCGCCGTCGTACCGACCACACGCAGTTCCACCACAAGCCCCCCTTAGAGACTATTTTCCTCCTCCTCCATCATTCCCACGCACTCCTTCCACTTCGCCCACTCGTCATCCCCGCCAGGAATACCCCCAAAGAGCGGCAACCTTGTGCCGTCGCAATCGCCCATGCCCCTCAGCCGACTGACAGCCTCCTTGATGCCCACAGTACCAAAACGCACGACGAGCTCCTCCATGGCGCTGACCTTGAACTGCAGGGCCCTCCGGCGCGCGACCTCGTCGTCGGACGGCCGGTTCTTGAGTGCCAGCTCGTACAGCTTGACCACCGTTTTGGGGAAGAAGCCCGCGCACCCGTCGATGGCGCCGGCGGCGCCGACGGCGATCACGGGGAGCAGCTGCTGGCCGAGGCCCGTGAAGGTCGCGAAGTGCGCGTGGTCGATGGATGGGTTGGATGCGACTTGCGCGTGGTACGAGACGTCGCCGTGCGAGAGCTTGCACCCGACGATGTTGGCGTGTGCCGAGAGGGTCACTATGGTGCTTACGGTGACTTTGACGTTGTTTGATACGCCGGGGTAGTGGTAGCTGTACCGCACTCAAGAAATCAGCATCATCCCATCTCGAAGTCACCCTTCCAAATATCCAAGTCAGGTAGGCAACGAAGAGGCGCAAAAACGCAACCACCTACATCATGATCGGAATAGGGCTCTGGTCCGCAACAGCAGTAAACCACCTCACGATGCCCTCCTGCGTGCTCGCGCCCGCGAAGTACCCCGGCACCAGACACAGCCCCCACTGCGCGCCGGCATCACGTGCCCCGCGCAGCTGCTCGACCGTCTCGGCCACGTTCTGCGTCGCCGTGCCGGCCACGATCGGGTAGTCTGGAAAGCCCTCGCGGTCGTACGCCTGCCGCACGCCAGACAGTATGGTGGTGCGCTCCGCGGACGTCAGGTGGATCGCTTCGCCTGTGCTGCCGAGGAGCACTAGGCCTTTGATGCCGGCTTTTGCGAGGTCTTGGGGAGATTGGGGGGTTAGTTCACTTGGGGCTTCTTGTATATGGCTTGGTGGGTAGTGTGTCGAGGGAGCACGGTGCTTGCCATCTGGACGTTGCTAGAAGATGGGGTCGATCGCTCCTGATTTCACGTACAGAGTGAGTGCGCAACTTGCGTGGCAATATCGACCGGGGCAGCAACGGGGTCATAGTCGGCGGCCTTCTTACTAGCAAAGAAGGTCGGAACGGGGACGTAGACGCCCGGGGGCGGATGGGCGGCCATGGTTGCGTTCGGGGAGTTCTAGATGATTCAAAGGTAATCAGGGGTTTTCGTGTAAATCTGGAATATAGTCTGTCAGGTTGAGAATAACTACAATCTGTTCCGATCTAACGTATCACGAAGTCAAGTAAAATACTCTTATAAGTGGTGAACGACGCGGGGTTCGATGTTGTCTCGCAACGGCGGCTCCCACGCAATCCCGACATTGTCTCTCCGCGAGACGCGCCGATGCTCGGGGCAGCGCCTAGCGATCGGGGTTTCGGGGGAGCGGGAAGCGAGACTTGTGGAATGAACCACCCGCACTTGTGCGTGACTGGAGCCAAAATTGACTACACACATCTCCCGAGGGACCGGGACGGCAATGTTCGGCTGTCGTCTGATGTTTCTTGCTGGTGTGTACCGCATTCGGAGGCTGTTGGTTCTGCTCGTACCGGGGCATGGCTGGCATGATGGGGATCATGGGATTCAGCAATAAGACCTCACGGGCACCTTTTTGGGCTGAATTTTTCCGACGGACGCTCAAGCTTCAATTACACGATCAAGCTTTGCAGGCTCGTCGGCTTATGAATAGGCAATACGAAGCTTGTCCCGCCATAACCTGTGAGGAGAAGAAGGGTTCGCAATGAGCTCCTTACCCCTATCTTCCGGGCCTGACTTGAGTACGAAGAACGGGGCCGTTCTTAAGATCGAATCACTTCCGCCTGAGTATGCCCACTACCTTATTACCTCTCCCATCTCCTGGTCACAGCCGGTTCTTTATTCTGCTGCTACATCATCATTGCGACGTGAGCAAATTCTAGGATGTTGGTTGGACTCGATTGATCGGAGATGACTCCGTCATGTCTAGTATTCTAGCTCTCGAAAATGGCCCGAGCGCTATTGAGGGATGTTCAACCGTCCCGTCGACCGGCCAAGACCGACGGTTTTACTGCCAAGACTAGTGCTTGACCGACACCTAGTTAGTAGCCATGACAGTCACTGATCATCGGAATGACGTGGTGTGAAGAAAACGCAGATGGATCAGGATCTCCGGAGTCGGCTACAGGCAAAGAAGGATCGCTGATGAATGCACCAAATTACAGATTGAATTTACTATTATTGGCAGCGGATATGTTCCACTAGTCTATGGTCTATAACTGGTCTATGTGCTGAAGACATCGTTTACTGTGCAAGTATTAGAGACCTACTATCAGACGAAGGCGGAGAAGATGGAAACTTACGCAGGATAGCTCGTACTGGGGCGAGAGAGTGCCCAGGTCACCGGCACCGTAGATACCAAAGTCAGGGTTAGCAGTGCCGTACTGCGACTCCTGGAGCGAGTACCACCAGAGGTTGATGCCCGAGTTGATGAGACTGCAGGCAATGTCCTGCCAGTAGATGCGGGCGTTCTCGGGGCTGGCGACAGCCTGGTTCTCGGTGTCGCCGGACACGGGCCAACCGGTCTCGGTGACGTAGACGGGCTTGCCGCCGGCGAGCGCCAGGGTCTTGTTGTAGCCGTCGTAGAAGCGCTCGTGAGCATCACCGATGCTGTTGGCGTTGGCCTTCTCCCAGAAGGGGTAGCCATCGAAGCCCAGCCAGTCGACAGCCTGGATGACGGCCGTGTTGGAGCTGTTGAAAAAGCTGTCGTACGTGTCGACGTGGCCGACGGGTGCGGCTGAGAGGGCGCCGCCGGCGATGGTCGACCGCACCTTCGAGATGCAGTCGATCAGGTACTGCGCCGAGGTACCGGCGTTGGTGGGGTCGCCTTGCGCGTCGCGGTACAGGTCCTCGCTGCCGACCGAGATGCCGACGACGAGGTCGGTGAAGTCGGTACCGTACTTGGTGATGGCGGCCTCGAGGGCGGCCAACTCGTTGGTGATGGCGGCGGTACTGCCTGAGACCCACAGGCCGAGGAGGAGGGTCGTTTGTGTCTCGATGGCAGCCGGGATGGCCTCGATAACATCACTGGCGGTTCCCCACTGGACTGAAGACTGAGTTAGTCAATGTTGTCATTTTAAGTGAGGTCGAATCCCACGTCATCTATGAAGACCGGCGTTCGTAGATTGACGGATACGTATGTTTGCTTCGGAGACAGGCTCATAGCATTCACCTGTATCTACCCCGGGTGCTTCAACAAAATGAGCTACTTACTCATGGTGTAGAGACGCGCGCTGTTCCATCCGCTCGTTCCGGGCAGGTTCTTCGCCTTGTTGAACTCGTAGGCAAAGTCGGCCTGCTTAAGGGCCTGCTGGTTGAGATAAAAGGCTCCCTGGTTGAAGCCCTTGATGCCGGAGTTGGCGGCGCTTTTCGCGGCAGTGCTCTTCGCGGAAGAGCTTTTGTCGACGCTTGCAGCAGCGACAGAGCTCTTACCGGCACTTGCAGCAGCGGCAGAGTTCCTGTCGGCGCTTGCGGCAGCCATAGAGCTCTTGTCCACGCTTGCGGCAGCGGCAGATCGCGCAGAGCAAGTGGCAGACGCCATGGAGGCTGCGGCCACGAGACCGAGGACTGAGGACGAGAAACGCATCGTGTCGAATTAAGAAGAAACAGTATCCAAAACTTAGAAAATACGATTATGAAGAAACAAGCGAGTGTCAGCTACAATGGTGTGTTGTAGCTAGGTGGAGGGAGAGAGGGTGAGCGAATGTGTAGGAACGAAGAGTCCTAAAAGGGTTGAGCAACGAAGATGAAGAAGTAGGAAAAGGGAAAGACGGAAGCAGGATCATCACTTTTTAGTCAAGTTTTCATCGGGACTCGGGAGCCCTGGAGATCTTGCCAACATTCCCACCCTGATCGGTGCCCCAATGGTGCCCCCGGTCGCCCAACAGGGGAGGCCGATTCGTCCCAAGAAGCCGTCTGCTGTGGATTTAACAGTGGGGGAGGAAGTGAGTGGTGGTGGAGATGCCGGCGCCAGGCGCTCGTATCGCTGGCCCGCTTGCCGCTCTGCCTGCTGCAGTCGGCTCAGCCTCCTGGAGTCTCTCATTTGCCGCTGGACGCGTAATGGGGTCGAGAACCGGTCGAGACGGCGCCATTTTCGTCGGGATCGGACGACCACGCATGGCTCCCCTATGATGTTATCCATGCTGCCATGACAAGTGTCAATCAACAAATTACCAGTAAACAGCATCACCTTCTGCTCTAGGGTTTTCCTTGGTCGGGCCCAATGCCATCATCCATGGCTCTCGCATCGGGGAATCATCAACCTCAAATCTCCAATCTCCTCGTTGTGGGCGAGCTCCAGTTTATTTACAGTCTCTTCTCATGCACGTCTCCAGGGGTTTTGCCGGGATTAAAATCTGCATTTCGTTAGAACTTAGTACCCGTGCCACGCCCCACTTTATTCAGGATTCGCTCGGGCTCACCAGCTGAAGCTGGTGCTGGACACCAAAACGCCCAGTTTTTCGATCTATCTAACTAGAAACGCCTCAACCACCTGCAACTGTAGCCAGATTCGTAGATTTCCGCCGGTGCCAGTCTCCCAGAAAGCCTCTATTTGCGTGACTCTTTTGCTGCTTCGGAAAAACAGCGTTTTGTAGCATTGCGAGCCCTTAGATCTGCTGCTTCAACTATCTTCCTTGCCTTGATTATCTAGTCTTCTTCTTTCTACTGGACCATCCGCCGGCCATCAGCCACTGTTAACACCCCTCCTAACTTTAATGGAGTATTCTTGGTAGCCCGGCGTTGTTTTTGAACACGCTTAGCATATTTAGTCCTCCCCAGGTCTCTTTTAGTCTGGACCAGTTCTGTGGCACTTATTAGAGACCCTTTGATAAAGCGGCTAATATTGGCAGCAAACTCAGGATCAAGACTTTCGTTGTTTTTTTAGCGCTGTATCTAGCTTATCAGCCACCTTATTGATCTGGCGTAAGGTCATTGGCGTGCCAAATGGCGAGGAACCTGCCAAGGTAGGGGAAGTAGGTGTCCTTTTTGGCTGTCGTTCTTCTAGGATTGAAGCACCGGCAGCGGGTTATATGGCCAGATACCAGTCTTCTGGAAGGCAGAGAGAATGGTACTAGACTTGAATGCTTGCTGGCGGACCTGCTGAATACAGCTAAGGAACTCAAGCTTCGTGATGTTCACCAGGCCATCACGGACCATTAAATCCAGAACCTTTGCGTGATAATGCTTTAGCGGCTGGAAGACTACCACGTCTAGCGGCTGCAGCAGGTGCGTCAGGTTTGGAGGCATGCCAAAAGGGATGATGCTGTAATCTTCGCAATATTGAATAAATTCAATCGTATAGTATGAACCATGGCCATCCAGAATAAGGAGCCATTTCGTCCTAATGGCCTTTGCTGCTGTGTGTTTTTTAAAATGCTTTAGCCATTCCAAGCTGATCTGATCGTTTGAGTAGCCGCTAAAAGAAGGGATAATAGCTGTATCTCCATGTAGTTCAGGTTGTTGATACTATTGGGCTATATAGAGCTGGCCTGCCAGAATCAGAAAGGCTGGTATATATTCTCCACCTGCAGAGATGGCTTTGATAGCAGTAGCAGATTCCCTATTCTCAGGGGTGCTGAAATAATGGGCTCTCTTTCGTTTAGTGACGATGAGCTGGTTCTTTCCAACACCTATTCAAAAGCCAGTCTCGTCCATGTTCCAGATATCTTCGGGAGGGATACCCTCTGCTTTGCATGTCTCCTTGAGCTTCTGGAAGTACTGAGCAACTCGTTTAACGTCTTCTGATGCCTCCTGGTCTGCGTGAAGCTGCTTCTGAAGCCGCTAGTGGTATCTATAGCGCTTGATAAAGCGACTGGTCCATTTTTGGCCAATAATAGGTGGACTGTCCTGTATAGCTGAAGGCGCTCGCTCGCTCAGAATGTGATTTGCAGCGTCAGTAATAAACTCAGTGCGTACAACAAGGTTAATACGATCAAGACGATCAATGTAATGACATATTGCAACCTCTTCAGTAGGTGTTAGCTTCGTGTTTGCTGCTGGTTGGCCTTTTCTTGCTGGGCGGCCCTTGAGACAGTTTCGAAGGCAATCGCGAGATACGCCAAATTCGCGGGCTACTGTGGCGACTTTCGAGCTGGAATGGGTTCTAATATACTGGACAGCTTCCTACAAGCGTGCTTCCATTTTATCGAATTAAATATGCTTTGAAGCTGCTGAAGAAAAGTGTGATCTAGAGGGAATGGTTGAGAGACTGGGTGTTTTGGTGATCTGGGTGTTTTGGTGTCCAGCACCAGCTTTAGCTGGTGAGCCCGAGCGAATCCTGAATAAAGTGGGACATGGCACAGGTAATCAAGTTCCATGCATCGGGTTGTCCGCAAACTTTGTCGTTCCTTCAGGAGTCCGGGAGTTCAAACGATGCATGGAAAGCCATATTAAAAGGAGCAGATTGTCCAACTTCCCAATCAAACGCCGCTGTGGTCCAAGAGAAGAGACACATATGTTGTATCGGCAACGGACATAAGATGATGGATGACCCAGACGCTCAACGAGTCCTCAATTGACACGAGGTGAACCAGTACCGGAGTCACGTGGAAGATGACTTCGGTCGCTGGAGGACTCTGGCTGCTCAGCATATTACTGTCCTACATTGCACTGCGTCGGTGGGCAAGTGCATTGGGTGGCCATGGTTCCGATGCATGCTTATTGCTCAGGTCAACTGAGTGGAAGGAGCAATAGGCAACTCATCCTGCATGGCTGCTGCTTGGATTTATTGCCGTCCTGTATCCGATTGAGGTCAATTGCTAGAGTCCAGCACGCGGTGCAGGTGGTTCCGGCGATGCCTTTGCTGCCAAAGCAGGGTCTATGCTCCTCGACGGCGTGGCGACTCCGGAGGAGTTCAGCGTGATCAAGCATGTTTTGCGAGGCGCTGGCTCACGAAATTCTTGCTGTCGAAAGGCTCACGTGGTAGAGATGTTGACATGAGCATAGGCGAAGAACTAAGCTTCCATGTTGTTGCTTTTACCGGCCTGGTAGCCACAGTCCAAAGTGAGATCTGCGACGTCGCATCAGTCCCAGAGCTCCCGGAGAAGTTATTGCGGGAAGGCCTGGATCACGGGGACCTCGTAATGGTCGCGCAGTCAGCTGTTTGGCCGGGCGGATGCCGCTGAGACGGGAAGGGTCCACGGCGCCGTAAAGGCTCCCGGCCTTCCGGTTATTCGACGCCGGTCGCTCTAAAATCGCCATGCACCGCCAACACTTGTTGAAGTCACCCAATCCAGTACAGTATTGGCTGTCCACTTCAACCACGCCCTCTGGTTCTCTGAGTAGTCTGGACTCCCTCGTCGTAGTTCTTGGTGTGGAATCGCCAGTCCTGCTCCCCGACTCGTGTTTGTTGAAGACGAGTTGGAGTCTGCCTGGTTGAGGCCACTAATAATTTAGTGGGTAAAGTGGATCCCTCTCAGCGCCTGTCAACACCTGCATTGCCGTCTGCCGATTCAGTTCACGCACTCTGTCCTGTCCAACTCTACAATACATACGGTATTAAAGACAAGTGACTACTTATAATATGGCAGTCATGAGGCAAGCAATGGGTTCTTCAATCTTCTTGCCACGTAGCGTGGGAGTCAGCCGGTCTGACACACAGAGCAAGTCCTTGGAGAGTAGGACTCGTGGCACTGCCGCGGTTGCCTAGCAATGCACCGCCTTCTTCTGTCAACATTTTAAGGCTGAACAGTCACCCTCAATATCTTGCCTTCAAGTTTCGAGCTCAATCGATGTCAACAATCCTCACTAGACGAGCAATACAACTTCGGCCATCAGCCACCCTCAAAACTCATCATTCAAGCAAAATGTTCAGCAGCATGTTTAGTAGGAAAAAGACAAACCCGAAGCAGCCGGTCAAGACCATCTACAGGTCCAACGAGGTAGCCATCCCAGCCGACTACCTCAAAACCGACCCGCACGACGCGAAACCCATCACCTTCTCCAGCATAGATTTCGCAAGCTCCGTCCTGCCCGAGTTCAAGGGCTGCTACGCCGTGGTCCTCGACCACGTGCTCAGCCCCACGGAATGCGCGCAGCTGCTCGAGCTCGCCGAGTCCAGCGTCATGGACGAGGACAAAGGCGCCGACGGGTCCTCGTGGAGGCCCGCCCTGGTCAACGTCGGCGGCGGCTACGAGGTGCAGGCCCCCGGCTACCGTAACGGCGACCGCATCATTTGGGACAGCCAGGTGGTCGTCGATCGTCTTTGGGACCGCTTGGCGACGGTGCCGCAGATCAACGAGAAGCTCGCGTCCTTCTCGGCCGACGACCTGCCTGGCGCCGGCGAGGGTACCTACGACTTTGGCCGTGTCAATAACCGGATGCGGTTTCTGAAGTACGATCCGGGCGGGTTTTTCAGGCCGCATTGCGACGGTCCGTATGGCGAGCCGACCGCGGATGGCGGATACAGCCAGACCTACTTTACGGTGCATCTGTACCTGAATGATTCGCAACAAGAAGTTGGGGAGGAGGCAGAGCTACGTGGAGGCGCTACGTCGTTTCTCTCTCGGGATGGCAAGCGCAAGATGGATATAGACCCGAAGGCCGGCCGGGTGCTCATCTTCCAGCATTCGCGGCTCAGGCACTCGGGTGACAACGTCACGGCTGGTATCAAGTACACGGTTCGGACAGACATCATGTATCGGTTACGTGAGGATCGATGATCTGCGATGATCTGGATGCCGTTATGTCATGACTAGTAGGTTTGGATGGATGGTCATCATGACTCGAGTTCGGGAGGGCAGGACCCAAGCCCATGGTTCCGGCTAGATCTCCATGCATCTAATGCATCGTCGATGTCTAAAGCGGCCAAAGCAGATACATTTCAAATCGTTGAATCATTTTATTAGACCAAAGTCAAATTGAGCCACACTGCCTTATTCTAACGACAGCCAGTACGATGCATCAATTCCCATAGCTCCCCAGACAACAATTACAGCAGACGTATTATCGTCAACCCCATATCTCCTTGATCGACTTCAACACCTTGCAATTCGACTTGTGAAGCATCTCGCTCCACCCCTTCGCTTGACAAGCCTTGTGTCACGATTCGTTAGCACCGATCGTACTCTCATCCGAAGGCGAGGGGAACAGCCTACCTTGCTGCAGTAAGCAGCGATCCCGCACCCGGTGCACTTCATCAAAGGGCCCTCCATCTTCTCACACGCCGCACACTTCTCGCCCACGCCCTCCCTATCCAACAAGAAGCCCAGCTCGAAAACCTGCTCCAGACCACCAGGTATCACATATGCATCCCCGCTCCGCCCGGCCTCCACCCTCACAACAGCCTTCTTCCCCTCCCCGCGCTCCGTGCGCGCCGCCCGCCGCACCACCAGCATGTGCCCCTTCTTAAAGCCCCGCAGGCTCATCGCCGTGTCCTCAAACGTGATGGCGAAGTCCATGCCCCGCCGGTCCGTGCAGATCAGCGTCGGCTTCGTGAGCGTCATGTTCTCCTTTATCTGCGCTAGTAGGTACCATGATGTGGTGTCGTCGGGGGAATTAGGAGCGGCGGCGATGTCGCTGGCGGCTGGCGTGGGCAGCTCGTAGAAGGCTGGGAAGAGGGTGGTGTCTGTGAAGGGGGGCATGTCGCTGTGAGTGTGGTGGGGTACGGTATGGGCTGAGTATGAGGATTGGTCTGAAATGATCAGTTTCTGGAGTGTTCACGTTCACGATGATAAGTTCGGTAGTCAGGAGATGTGGTCTGCTGAGATATTTGAGGTTGGTCCCTGAGATGAAACACGGAGACCCCTGTGGGGCCGATGTGCGTGCGTGCCTCCGGCGGCCGCATATGTCCGAATGGGAGCCGAGCTTTCTCATCGTGGATCCCGGTCGATGTCACGGAGACATCACTAATAGATACGAGCCTCATTACGATTTCAAGTCGAAGGGGCACTATTCACACTCAACCATTCAGGTCAATTGAAATCTCTCGTCATTGCCCTTTTTGCCCTTCTCAGCTTGTCCCCAGGGCCCAAATCACAATAGACCTCCAGGCCCCGTAACTTGCACAGCTATCATTTCTGACTATACTGCGATCCATGCTCGGCCCCCGTACTCGAACTAGGGCCGCTCGAACTCCGCTCCTGTCCCGTCCCAGTGGGTTGACCGGCCTGAGATGAGCCGGACAAGCGGAAGGGAGTCCATGGTTCATCCTTCTTGTCCTCGTGCAGCCATCGGGTGATGGTACCCGAGTCAGCTGCATCTAAGGTGAGTTTTCTCTGTTAGTGGTGAAGTCTTCCATACTAAAGTGAAGGACTTACTGGAGTGAGACTCCTTCGGGGTAGCCGTGGACGTGGGCATTTTCGTTGAGCTGACGCAAAATCGTGGGCGGACTGATTTTCGGGTATTGGAATCTCAAGAATATGAGCAAGGCTTCCTGTATCGGAAGAGTGAATGGTTCTGAGATGATGAATTTGACACACTCGGGCAATACGAAGCCAGCAGAGAGGCCTTATATGCTCCCAGCTCGGCATTCGACATACGGCCCAGAACAGGCTCTAGTTCGGCCGCGAACTACATCGCAACCATGTCAGTCCTGTGGTTGTCAGAAGATCAGTTCACACGCGATTGTCTATCAAGGGCCATTATTGCCATTGGGCAGCATCGCCACAGGTATCTTCTGCCTCACCGCGGTAAAGGGAGGGGTCCTGGAACAGGAACATGATCTGGAGCTACCGCGAGTGAGGAAAATGGCCTTGGACATGTCATTTGCGGAAGCCCATTCCAAAAATTGGCCCTGGAGCTGGGGCAGGGCTTGTGTTCCCCCATATGCAGGTACAACTCCAGGGCCGTTTTTGTGATTGAATCAAGCTGGAGCCAGCCACCTTCCACATGCAGAATAACGCCATGCCGTACCGCAAGCCGCACCGCAAGCCGTACCGCAAGCTGCACCGCAAGCCGCACTGCACAGCATTGGAATTCTCGCCAATCAGAAGAATTGGCCCTGACACACTACAGAGCCTTCCAGTCAGCCCAACTTCCGGCCTGTCGAGAACCCAGCTCATGACAGATTAAAAAGAGTGACAGGTACCCCTCATTCTGCGCGCCTGCTACCCTTCCTCCAGTCTGTACTCCTGTCCGACCTTCTTCGAGTCGCTCGCCCATTGAGGGTGCCGCGACTCTGGCACCGGGCCCCTTTGAGGGCAACGACTCACCTCTACCCACTGTCGGGTTGAATTATCAACTCATCTCAATCTTATTGACCAGGTGCGTTCTCGCCGTCGTCCTTTCACCTTGTCTCTGTTGTCCTGCGCTTCCTGCGTCAGGGTTTTAGCACCAACATTCACCGTCGCAAGGTGCCTCAAACCACTGACCTTGTTTCTTCCTAGACCGATCAAACAATCGTCATTTGCCTTCAGGCAACTTTAATCCAACGATCTTGTTGTTGAGACGCCGGATATTATTCCGGCGCTCGCAACATCTCGAAGGACCAACATGATCTTCACATAGGACCGTTTGTGCCTGGCTACCATACAGAGTACGAATGGCAACCCCCAGTTGGTTTTTTCAACTCGCCAGGCATCTTTGATGGGAGATGGACCCCCGAACCGTGCGGCTTGTGCGAGCCTTCTTTAGTTTGGAAATCGCCTGTCACCGACAATGGTGGAGTCAACCCAAGCCTCAGAGATGCCCATGGCTCACCTTCAACATACTCATTCGATCTATCACCTGTCCCTACCCCTTCGTGTAACTCATCTGGGCCAGCTCTTCAGCAAAGTTCTTCTACGGCATCGACGTCCTCCATGGCACAGTCCCCCTACACTTCGTCATCATCAACCACTGAGCTTTGCGTCTTGTGCGAATTACCGTTCGAGAGCAAAGACAGTCTTAGGTAAGCCGCGACTTCACTCTATGACGTCGACTCAAACTTACATGAAGCTTATAGACACCACTTGAACCTCAAGCATCGCGGTACGAATACGAATACCGATTATACCTGTGGAAATAAGAAGTGCGCCCCCGTCAAAAGCCTGAGAAGCTTCGAGCGCCATCTCGATACATCCATGGTGCACCTGAAAAGCCCTTACCAATGCGCATGCGGGTACACCATTGGACGCAAGGATGATTTGCGAGTTCACCTTGACAAGCACCGTTGTTCAGGGACCATGGCGTATACATGCCGTTGCGATTACATGACGTCAAGCCGAGACGAGTTCGTTGCCCATTTCAATCCGTGTGGCAGAGGAAAGCGAGGTCGACCGCCCACATCACACACCAAAGGGACTAACTAGAGCGAAAGAGACTGAAGCGAAGCGTATTGTACTGCGAGGTACTGCGAGGCGAGTACATCATTTGCTGTCTTGCGGGTTCGTGGTCACAATTGTGCTTGGCTCTTCGATGAGAATACACATTGTCCACAGCCGGCAGACGGTAGACAATCGAGCCGGGAACCAACTCGGGTCCTCTTTTTTACCTGAGGTACCAGGCACATCCCATACTCTGATGAATGATCATCTGAGACAGGTCGTCGGACTTTGCTTTTGAAGATGAATGCTACCACTCGGTTCCACAGACAACCAATCACTGGCCGCGTCCTTGTCTTCCACCCAAAGGGAAGCTTTGGCCCTTTGGGGGTTAGGGAGGGTTTTATAAAGAGCAAGGGCAAGAAGGTCCTGGATACCACGTTGGGAAAGAAGGTCCTGCGTATCATGTTGGTACAATCCGTGGACAAAAGTATCCGCCCGATCCCCATTTTTACCCCTTCCATCTACTGCGCCCTCCAATTCAATTGAACCACAACGCACCCAACTCTGGTGATAAAATTCTCAAATAAATCATATTCAATAGCTAAATCAATAGTGTGTATACCAACCACCAGCGCGCCTCACTGCAGCCATTCGGTCCTCCAGTGACTCCATCAAGACCCGAACTTGCTCCGGATCGATCTCTGACCACGCCTGCTCAATTAACTCGTGTGCGTAGCGATAATGGGGGATATTGTCCTTCAATTCGGAAAATTCAGGCTCGATTCCATGTATCTTCTTCTTCAGAAGTCGCCAAATGTGCTTGATTGGGTTCATATCGGGGCTGTGAGGAGGCCAGTCGATACAGTGAATGCCGTGCTCCTTCATCCACTCCGGAACACCGCCAGTAAGGTGAATTTTCGCGTTATCTTGAACAAAAGGATCTCCAGTCTCATAGAACGGAAGCAGGCCTTCCTCAAGAACCCATTTATATGACTCTATAGATACTCTTCCGCGCGGAGCATCCGGATCGAGTGGGCAGAAGACCAACTTGCCTAATCCTCCTTCTCCGCCGTGTAGCCAGATCATAGACCACACCATTATTGAAATACGAGATTTGCCGTGATCCGTCTCGTTCACGAGATCATAACAGTACCGCTCTGAAGAGAATCGGATGGCCCAATCGCCTGGATTATCGGATGAGTTTTGGACCGTATATTTATCTGAGAACATGGCTCGCAATAACTCCTCCAGGTGTTCTGGTATGCTGTAATAATTGGTGAAAGTGAGTCTCTTCTGAGTATCCTTATCCGTGAGCTTGATTCGCTTTGCTGCGCGCCACTTCTGGGGGCCGTGTGCATGACATATCCTCTTGATAGTCTTGGGAGAGCACGAAACTTGGGCTTCATTTCGGATCTTTTGTCACGTCGCCCTGGGGAGCTCTCTTGCCTTCTCGATCACACGAGCGCGTTTGCGAGTGTTCAAAACGGGTGGACGACCACTCCTTGAGGCAGATTTCGGTGTGGTGGCCTCAAAGTTGGTGGTGATATCAGAGATGGTTTTCAGGCGTTTCGTTTTGAACGCGGTTGCAATATCCCTGTGCGTTCTGCCGTCGATTTGCGCCGCCACGATTGCCGAGCGAGCTTCTGAAGTGAATTTGCCGTAAGCGATGCGATTACCGCTTAATTCGTCCCCAAAAGATCGTAAATCCATTATCAATTGCGGTGTTGAGAGAGTGGTGAAGTCGAAGGGTGATTGACGCGTTGTTTTGATCTGAAGGAGATTGTGGTGGGTCGGGCGGAGACTTTTGTCCACCCAGTTTACCTGTCACCTGGGGCAGTCATCCCAGATAACCTTATCGTAGAACGCCATGGATGACAGGAGATCCGATAAGTTACTGTCACGGCGAGCATACTGGGGAGCTAGGACATGGCCTGCAGCAAGCAGCTGTTACTCTATTGACAAGAATATCAAGACTAGAGAGGAAAGGAAGAGAGAGAGATAGGTACAGCGGGAGGTTGCCCCTTTAAGGGGATCCTCTGGTCAGATCCTTCCCTTATTGGGAAGTATCAGCTTGTCATGTGGGAAGGTCTGTGCAGGTCGTCACAGGTACTGGTAGCTGGATCCAGTGGCTGGGATCCACAGCAGTGCATTGCGCGAGGAGTTAGTACACTAAGTATTAAAGAGCAAAAATCAACAATTATTTTGATCTAATTCACGTTCTGAATGGCCTCGTATTCGATTTATTAAGAATTGTTGAAGATGAGGGTGGTGATGGGTGGATTGGCGGGGGATCGGCGGTGTACGCATAATATTGTCCACATTGTGACGGCCTGCACAGACCTTCCCACATGACAAGCGGATACTTCCCAATAGGGGAAGGATCTGACCAGAGGATCCCCTTAAAGGGGCAACCTCCCGCTGTACCTGTCTCTCTCTCTCTCTTCCTTTCCTCTCTAGTCTTGATATTCTCGTCAATAAAGTAATAGCTGCTTGCTGCCGGCCATGTCCCAGCTCCTCAGTACGCTCGCCGTGACACACATATTGTATGCAGTTATCCCATTTACCACAGTAGGCGCGTACCCACGCCACCCAAGCCACCCCCCTTTTAAGCCCCTCGGAGAGATTGTGGACCCCTATTCACCGAAATGCAGGTATTAAGAGCGCAACTCCAGGGTAAACGGCATGGAAAACTCTATAATGACAGCTCACTGCTACCTAGGTATAGAAAACATATAGCCGACCAAGGACCGACCGTCCGGTTAGACCAGGAAACTTAGCTTATGCTGAACACTGCCAGATTTTAGAACGGTTTGTATTGGAAGAGAAAAGGGACGACCAAAAGGTGTACCTTCCTAGTGGAATAACGAAGCTCTGGCAGCGATATAATCAGGTGATCCCGCAATATTGTGCCTTGTGGTAGCGGTATCCAGAATAAGGACCAGGGTCACAAATGGTGGCTATTGGTCTGTATTCTGGAAGTTGCTTGATTGAAAGAAGGGATGGGTGGTGTCCCCATCCCAGAAGTAGCTATCATCCCAGTTGGGTACGAATCTGGTACAAACGGGTACCAGTTGGGCTTCAAGGTACCTTGTACCCTGGTCCGTGACCCATCCGTCATTGTGGCTGGAAAATGGGTTGAGGAGCCGCAATATGACCAATATATGTGCTCAGGCTAAACAAGCCACTGAGCACATATTTGAACAGACCCAGCGCGAGAGTCGGAAAATGGGATTTTGCTTTCGCAGTTCATGGCCGTCCTATATATAAGCTTATAGCAATCCCTAACATTGAACTTCATTTCTCGAAATTCAAGCCCCACTGGCTCCTCTCTAGGTGGCTTCGTATCTCTGTTACAATATGTAATCACATGCATCGCGGGACTTTATCACCCATGGAGGTAAATACAGTTATCAACAAGCTGTGTCGCAACGTATTTCGTCCTCTCTAGAAATCCAATTGCCTACCTCTTGCTCGTCCCGCCGGGGACGTTAAATATACTTGAGACCATTGATTTCTTATCGGTATAACCTCATGGCATACGGACTCACATAAATCACCAGGCTGCGGGCCCCTAGCGGCGAGCCACACGCGACTGCCCCACGTACACGACATCTCCCAACCACGCCGTCTTCTTCTCTCCATCGCCATGTCATTCAAAGATTCTCAGAAGAACGCGGAAGCCGCCCTCCGCACTCACCAAGGTGGGGTCTCGGGTCGCAAGTCGTCCAGCTACTGGAAGATTGACCGCAGCTACCTGCAACGCCGTAGTTACCATTCACTCTGATCGGTCCTTCCGCCACGGCCTTCATGGTGAGGCCTCTCCTTCCGCCACGGCCGTCATGGTGAGACCTCTCGCCGTGCTGGAGCCATATCGGCGTTGAGGTTGAGGGAGAAAACAAACAGAATTCAGCCATGAGCCACCAAAATAATAATAATCGTTCATTTGCTCAAGTTTACAGCATAGCCTGAATTTATCATACAACATCGATACCGCCTCACTATCTTTTGGGTTGGGAACAAGAAGTCGACCTCTTGCAACGACGTTTGCCCCAGCTGTCGATCACCATGTCCCTCGAAACCTCCACGGAGGACGACGTCCGCGGTTCGGAGGCAACATCATCCTGCTTCCTCTCAATACAAGGCACGCCGGTGAAAGAGCTAGTTTCCCATGTTCTAAAGACGTCGTGCCATGGGTACTGCGACCCAGGGTTATTGTCCGACTCCCAACTGAATGCACGTCACCGCTTCGTGTTGCTGTATCTCGAAACTCCAAACGTGGTGGATGAGAATCATCAGATCTTCTTACAGCAGTTCATGGAAAGCCTGGACAAGTTTTTCTTCGAGGGGAATCTGACACAAAGTCCGATACGCCCGCCGGTGGCCCTAGTGGTTCATGACGAGCCATGTGACTTCTGGCAATTACTGGGTCAGTACCAGACGGGAAAAATTGAGATGTGGCCGCATTTTCGACTCAAGTACACCCCTCCGGGAATTCGTTGGTCCTTTGATCTCGGGAGCTTGCTCTCCACCCTCATACACGAGATGGTACATGCGTACACACTCATCTTCTCCGATCCTGAAAGCACCAGCTGGATAGAGCTATATTACGAAGGGGGCCATGGTTACGCATTCCACAACATGCTCGACTGCATTAGCGCCACAATCACGAACTGGCATCCACTGCTGGCAATTCCTGACCTCAAATATACCGAGTATCGAATATCGAGCCAGGTTCTACATGCGACCCAGCTTGTGCATTTAGCAAAGCCAGACGATGACTCGGCGGCCTATTCTTCCTCGAAACCTGAGCAGGAGTGGCGTGGGATTCCATCTTTCGAGACCTCTGGGAGAAAGAAGTATACTTTCGGTACGCGGGGAGCAGCAGTGCTTGAAGTATTGAAGTCGAGAAAGCCTCGCTTCATCAGCGTTTTGAAAGAACTTGTACTCGGACGAGGTGATAGTAGATCAAGGTTTCGATCGACGGGCTCCGCGGTGGACGTGGCTTCTTTGCGCATCAAGGAAGAACAGGTCTTGGTACGAGATGCCGTACCAGCACTTGCCGTTCGCGATAGCCGGCGCGCGCGGCTTGCAGGACCGCACCCCAGGGAAGCGGCCGCCCGGCTAGAGGCTGGCGACGACGTTGCGCTACATGCTCAGGAGCTGCCCTCTAGAGCTGGCGTGATCGAAGACTCAGTTTGCCATCGTGTGGCCGTACTCGGGCAGCGGGAGGTGGCCGAGCGGTTTGGAGACGCTGGGGGTGTACCAGCGGTTGGTGCCGTCGTGGTTGAGCGACACCTCGACCCCTTGGCCGGCTCTTCGCAATTCCCGGAGATAGGTCTACAACGTTAACGGTTGTGGCGCCTGTGCAGATGGTGTGACGGACCCAGAGGCCGGTGCCGCTGCCAAGGTCGAGGATGATTGATTGATTCTTTAACAGCTGGAGGCCGCGGCGTACACATCTGTAGAGTTAGCACCCCATGAGGCCCAAGGGCGACGTGGTGTAATCATGATAGTCAGTATAACAGCGGATAAATTCTTTACTTGATTGAGCAAGACATGTTGAAGCATGGATGATGAAGAGACTTGTTTGATTGGCGAGGCTGCTAAGGTACCTACTGTGTTCTGTCGACTAAAGGCGTTCTATGATTTAGCTCTAGGTGCCACGCCTGCAGATTGGAAGTTCCGGTCAGTCAGAAACTTATTGATATGAGAATGAAACCCAGGACCAACATCGATCCACGCTTGACACGGGGAACACATAGGACTCTTTATGGGATTTTGGGCTGATAGGAGAAGACGATTGGCAGCAGCAAAGGCGGCCCTCCTCTGGGACAGTGTCGAATACTGAGTGGTCGATGTAGTGTATCGAATCTAAGACGTAGGAGGAGCCCGTAGAAAGGAGTAGTCTCACTATAATGAGAGCGTCAACATACGTATATTCATGACACCCGTGGAGAAATACTCTGAAGGTCTGTTGAGAGATCTTGGGATAGTAGGTCGTCCATTCATGACTCAACACAACGACAATGCTGGCATTATCAGGCCCGAGACAAGGCGACCATGTCCATGCGGGGAAATGTCCTGAGCATCAAGTTGTTTCGAGATTGGGTCGAAAATGCTCGTGTTCACGAAGAAAGACGTCTTGGAAGTTGTTCAAGATGCAGGAGCTGGCAAGGGAAGCATGGTCGGCATCCAAGTTCCTGGACTTATCAACCTGACATACAACATCTTGGAAAGGGAAAGTGAGATATACCAGCAAGTGGTAGGCAAGAGACCGTTTAGTTCCGGCCTCAAAGGTTGCCTGGGCGTAGGTGGACGCACAATTTACAAACACGACATGCCAGGTTCGTTCGCCAAGAATAATGATACACAAGGTGATAGATCTAATGCGAATAGGGACGACGCTTGACTGAACTACCCATACTTGAATTATACATGTATGCGACCAGCCTGGTGTGACTCGCCGGGTTCGACCACTGCTTGTTACGTGTCCCCAGTCCACGGGCTTCCTAGTTGACCATGCCCTTTTATGTGACTGTGGCCCTTTCTCAATGATTGCATTCGTAGAAATCACATTAATTGAATTGATACAAAGACATTGTGCCGGGGTATGATTGGAGTGGCGGACTCGTAATATCACTCCGTGCCAGTAGCAACACCATCGGGCAAGTCTTGCTAATCGACGCAATTGTTGGATCCATGCGATTCCAACCTTCAAACCATTCATACCGGATCCACATGTATGATTAGATAAGAGATTAGATACCGGATTGTGAGGACACTTAGCCAGACCTGCAAGTCCAGCTAGACCTCCCAATCCAACCATCAGCAACATCATGACCTTGACCCCATACTCGAGTATTATGATTGATCGTTCAAGCCTGTTCCTACAGCAATACTGAATAGGTAGTCGGATTTAAACTTTGGCATCGCTAGAAGCATGAGCTAAAGATAGTGACAATTGTGGCTTTCCGTTTTTTGTGCCATTGGGCTATTGGTTGCTGTACTCGCAGGCTGGAGGTAGGGCTGCGACCTTACCGACCAGGCTTAAGATGCTGTCTTCTAGGCGCCTGGGACTGTTAAGACATACGAAAGAAGCACCATGCAGGCTTTACGTACACGAGCACCCCCTGTGATTATTCAAAAACTTTTACGCGGGCCATGTAGAGGTGGGGCGATCATAGAGCTGGCTGAGTCTTGCAGCCACCCGGAGCATGAGCTTGGATTGGTCATGTTGCTACATCAAAATCTCTACTAGATCACAAAAACCAACAACAAGGAGGTCAAAAAACTAACAAAAAAGGGCATAAATAACAGTAAAAAATAAATAAATAATCAGTACTTATCCGAAGTAGGCGGAGAAGCTCGAAAGTCCCATGGTTTGTCCCAACATGACCGGTGACGCGGCCGGCCCCCATAGGGTTTCGAACTGGCGACGAACTGGCGACCTCCCACTGGCCTTTGGATACACTTTTTCGGGTGCAGTGGGGGTTTTTCTCTCCTGTTGTCGGTTGATCAACTGGGCTCTTATAATAATTCATATAGCCTTTACACACACCTCCCCTAGGCAACATGGCAGCCATCAATTTTCCCGATGCGGCAGAGTGCCCCCCACACATGACTTTCACCCTTGATTCATTAAGTGCATGCTCCGAACACGATCCCTCATTTTTTCTCTGCGCAGTCTTTTTTCATCACGCCTGTACCAAGTCCAGCAGCGGCCTGACACCTGGCGCCCACACCACCTAGCAACCAAGCAACTATTCTGAGCTGAAAATCTGCCTGATACCCGTCGTCGCCGCTATTACGGACCTCACGGATAAATTGAGGCCATGTTTTCCCCTTTCAGCTCCTCGAAGCATCCAATTTGCATTCGACACTCACGATACCATCGCTGGCCACGATAGTACAGATCCTTTTTACTACCCAATCAAACGTCTCCGAACACCACCCATTTTGATCCCCTGCATTTTCCCACCATTCCGCTCCCTCGGTATCGCGACGGAATGCTAATGCACAAGCCCTCCTAGGACGCGAAGTGCGCTGCTGCGAACCTGCACCCCTTTCATGTTCGACATGTCGACTACACGCAATCCCGACATCCCACAGTCTGCGCCTCGACCTTCTGAACGATCAAGATGAGCGCATTGCCTACTCGTCGGCCGAGATTTTATGCAGTCTTTTGCATATCATGCTTCAGACCTTGCTCTGAGTACTCAAATACCGGTAAACATACACCATCCTCAGTCCAACACATCACTCCGTAAAGTATGTCCAGAACGCGAAACGCATATGCATTCCATACACTCCAGGACGACTGCGGCTCCCACAAAGGGCTCGCTTTGCTTCTAGGATGCAGGCGCTCCGGCTTCCTGGCGCTTTTAAGTTTTGACTGTTATGTTGTCAGGGGTGTGGCAGCTTGGAAAGTTCGGTGGTTTGAGCAGCCATGGCGTTCCTCTCTCAACGAGCAGATCCAGCGCGGCAACACCAGGGCCAATATATGCCGCATCTGTCCCGATGTATTCCACCTTTCCGGCGGAATGAAGCATATTCCTCCCTCTAGATTTGCGTCGCGCAAGGGATGTAGGTACGGCAAGCAGCGAGTGCATCGTTCAGCATGATACCTAGTCCGTCACCGTAAGCACCTGTCCAATCTGTGCATATGCTGCGACTTGCCTTCATTGTATCGAGACATGAGTTACTCCGAAGAAACTGGGTTTCATACATCGTGTTCGCGGACCCCTTTTCGAGGAGTCTCTCCAGGGGCCCACCTACGATGTCGGCGCCAGGCATGTCACGTGACCATAAACGGAGGTTTTAGTACATCCCCACAACGATGCCCAGCTGTATTCCCGGCCATATTCCCGGCCATATTCCCGGCCATATTCCAGGCCATATTCCAGGCCAGACTCAAGTGCTCGACAGTGAAGTCTCACAATGGTCCGCTATAGCTACCATGGTAGATGCACGTCCAGGCCAGGATGCGCTGAGAGGGACGGGTGCGAGCCGCTTCTCCGAGTAGAAATGACCAGAATGCGGAGCAGATTGGCGGATAGGGGTAGATAGCGACCTGAGCCCCCGTCGGGATTGATGAACATGGTCTCGGTGGCCGTACACCTGGTGGCGGTCTACTCCTTTTGCTACGCGTGGATATTGTTCGCAAAAAGTTTAGGATTACGAAACACGATCATATGGATTCATAGTACAGTACCGCATACTTCAGAAGACCTATTTTCATATTGGCTTCCCCAGATTGATCATCAGCAGATCAATGCGGGGGAGCCAATTAAACGAAGAGAGCCCTCAACTCAGAAAGGAGTCAAGGACCGGGACCGCCAACCTGCCAAATACCCAAAAGTATGCGGTATCAGATGAGATATGCAGATCAACGCCAGAGGAAAGGTTACCACGTGCCCGTGGGATATCCGAGTAGCCTTTCTAGGACGAAGAGACTTGTAGAGTAATGTTGGTTGCCCCTTCTGGCACCCCGACGCGGGACTGCCGGACTCCGTAGATAAATAGGTCCATGTAGGTGGCTTCTAAGCCTTCATCCTCAATGTGAGCTGTATAAAAGGAACTGCAATTGGCATCAATCTCGACGACGGGCTCTGTATGGAAAAACGGAAGGGTGTGCGCGGCAGTGCTCTGAGCCTCTTGTCACAAAGGCCTCCAGTCTGTGGTCACGGTACCAACGATCGTAGACAGTTGGTAGCCAGAAGAATAATGTTTTGTTCAGCAGCGCATCCAACAATGGCAACTGGATGAAAGTGGCTCAAATCCAGGACACTTTAAGGCGATGAATCATGGAGGGACCAACCAAGCCAACTTTTACCTAGGAGCCTATTAGGGGTTCAATGTTCATGGTGGGCATTTGTGGCGCTTCTTCGCGCCCCAGACTGACTGGATATGAATAACCAGGGCACTGGCCGGGAAAAGCTTGTTTTGTTGGTGTAACCCGTCGCGGGTACGCGGATCGCGCGGGCAGCACGGGGCACTGCACGGGGCAGGGGGGTGGGCATTGGTGGAGAGCAGTGGGCACTGGGGAAGCGCTAGCAAATCGTCTGGGTACTCCCGATCGTCTTGAGCGATCCCCCAGCGCTAAGGTAGCAATTGCGCTACCAATCGCAACCTTGAACCCCAGATCCACAGCCAGGGCGAATCTGGACATCCCCCACAGTGCCAATATCTCCCCCTCATGCCTCTAGCCGGTCTAGGCCGGTCTCCGGCACCAGTGTGGATCCAGTGCATGGACCCATATGGAGTATCCTGGTAACCCCACCAGATACGTTGGAGGTTACCTGATGAAGGCTGCCTGGCAACCCTTTGTTGCCCCAGGTACCTCACCACTGTAATTTAGGTATTTAGATACATCTCGGATGGAATCCTTTCCATCCGACCTGTTAATCAAGCACCACCCAGACAACTGATAGATTACAACAAGACTTACGATTTATCAGCATCTGGGAAAGCTACCAAAAGGCACACCAGCAGCAACTACCCGCCAGCCCGCCAGCCCGCCAAGATGCCATCGACGCATCAGCAGTGCCACCTCTAATATCTAGGTATGGCCCTATAGTGCTCCCACGGTACAGGCAAGTACCCGTGTACCCGCGTACCCGCGCCCATGGGATGCATCAATCTCACCCTCAATCAATTCCACTCTGCCAGTGAGTGACACCACCTCATCTTGGACGGCGGCGTTGGAATTTGGCGTTTCCTTCCCTTCCCATACACTTCGTCGCCGCCCAGCGCATGGCATTCAATCCATTCCTGTCCATTCTCAGCCCGTCAGCACCAGCGCGCCGAGGACTATTCAGTTGTCACTTGACCATTGACAGTTGGTGTCACCGATTTAGGTGACATTCACCACCGTTCACCACCATTCATCTTTTTATTTGGTGAATCACCAACTTACTACTTGTCTATTGGTGCTGTCGGGTTGCGTTTCTGCTTCGCCCTTCGCTTTCCCTTCTTACCTCCCACGCTCGTTAATCTTTTGCCTATGCCATTCTGACCGACCACCAACATGACATCCATCATCTTGCGTGCCGCCGCCACTGGCGCGCTTCTTTTGACAGGGAACCTCGTCTCTGCGCAGTACTACAAAATCGACTCAGATGGTACGCTCCTTCCAGCGTCTATTGCATGCCACCATAATTGCCCCTCAGGGCTCAAGCGTTGACCTGCGATGCTGACATCCCTATCCTCCAATCTAGACGACATCAAAAGCGCTGCGAAAACACTCGCTTCCGACCTGATGCAATACTACCACGGTAACGAGTATGGTCAGACACCTGGAATTCTACCTGGTCCTCCCCCGGCCGGCGATTACTACTGGTGGGAAGGAGGTGCGATGTGGGGAGCCATGATCGACTATTGGCATCTGACTGGCGACGACACCTACAACGACATCGTCACCCAGGCTCTCCTACACCAAGTCGGGCCCAACAAGGACTACATGCCTCCCAACGTGACGGCTTCGCTGGGCAACGATGACCAGGGCTTTTGGGGTATGACGGCCATGCAAGCCGCCGAGGAGAACTTCCCAAACCCTCCCGAGGACCAACCCCAGTGGTTAGCGCTGGCGCAGGCTGTTTTCAACACACAGGCTAGTCCTGACCGTCACGACGAGACATGTGGAGGTGGTCTACGGTGGCAGATTCCCTTTGCAAACAACGGATACGATTATAAGAATAGTGAGGGTACAGAAATCATCTCGATGACCAAATACTGACCCCTGGCAGGTATCGCGAACGGATGTTTCTTCAACCTCGGTGCTCGCCTCGCTCGATATCTTGATAACCAAACATATGCCGACTGGGCAGAGAAGACCTGGGACTGGGTTGAGAGCGTCGATTTAATGGACAAGGACTACAACATCTATGACGGTGCCCACGTCGAAAGCAACTGCACCGATATCAACAGAGCCCAGTTCTCATACAATAACGGTGTCTACTTGCTTGGCGCTGCTTACATGTACAACTACGTGAGTACACAGCCGTACTAATCACGAACCACAGCTGGGATGCTGATGATACTTGACAGACTAGCGACCCCAAATGGGAGCAGCGAGTCACTGATCTCTTGAACGCAACATTAAACGTCTTTTTCCCCGGAAATATCGCCTTCGAGGTTGCCTGCGAGGAACACATGACGTGTACGACGGATATGTTGAGTTTCAAGGGCTACATGCACCGATGGATGTCAACTATGACCCAGATTGCACCATTCACCGCGAACACAGTCCTCCCCGTCCTCCAGACGTCAGCAGAGGCGGCTGTAACCCAGTGTACGGGGGGCAGCAACCAAAGGACATGCGGGTTCGGCTGGAAAAGCGGCGCTTTTGATAACAGTGTCGGTGCTGGCCAGACCATGGACGTATTGGGGGCTGTCTCGTCTCTGCTGATTGGCAAATCCAAGGTTCCGGTAACGAATTCATCGGGAGGCACCAGTGCAGGCGATACAAATGCCGGAGCAGGCAGCGACACGTTCACCAACATGCCCACACCGATAACAACTGGCGACCGAGCAGGTGCTGGTATACTAACGGCGCTTGTTCTTGCATCTGCGCTTGGTATATTCGGCTGGATGAGTATTGCTTCATGAGCAAACGTTTGCCAAGCAGGTTCATACCTTGCTTTCGATTCGGTCCTCCCACTTTACATACCCTTTAGTGGGGACCTGGAACCCATTTCTCTTCTCGACATCGGAATTATAGGCACGGACTGGCATCCAAAACGTGGAGATTATAGGCGATTGGGCTTTCGGAATATAGGGCGTTCGGGGCTGCTACTGGATGGGAGCATTGCGTAGCGTGCGGCGCTAGATCTGCTCGATTTTCCAGGTGATCTTTCGCAAGGGACGGCACGGGGGTGGCGTTTTGGATTTGACGGATAACGTACGAATTTTGAACAGGACGATACTGCCTTGGAGCATAATACTTTTTATGATATTCCATAACAAACCACGTAGGACGTGCAATGCGAAACGTCCTGGCTATCCTGGCTATCCTGACTATCCTGACTCTCCTGACTCTCCTGGCTCTCCTGACTCTCCTGGCTCTAATATTTTTTTTAATTTTCAAGCAAGTACCCGTAGGGGCCTGTGACGGGTCATCGGGCGGGTGCTCCCGGTGCTCTTCATTTCGCATCGGCATATAGCATTCTAACTTCTGATATACGATACACCAAGTATCCATTCTCTCTTTTCATTTTGCGAGACTATACCATGATTCGCCATGGCCGTGGGCATTGCTGGTTAAGAAAAAGGAAAAACGATATCTAGGACTGGTGATAGCAATTGCATTCCTCACTGAAACTACCTATACGGCCGCAAAGTGCGCACTATGCAAGGTGACGCGGGCATCCATGTAACTTACAGCCATAATGATACTGGAAGGCGAGGACATGTGTAGCGTTGACGAAGCGCTGTTTGTCTGTGAACACTTTTTGATACTCGGCGGCTTCACCGACCCCTTTTTGACGCTCCGGTCGCCTGAGGCTTGATACAGCTAGCTGGTTCTACTTTGGTCCACTGCCCTTGTCGAGTAGCACACGTGTCGACACCCGGCCGATGGCAAGATCAGACGAGATTGGGTGCCCGATTGTTGTACTCCCATGCCCTGCTGTGGACTGTGGGAGTTCAGGGGCGGCACGGAGTTGGGATGATTTTCATGTACTAGCGTGACGGACAGAGTCGGGAGTCGAGGAAGAATATGCTTGGCTTGAGCTGGTTCCTGACGGTGCCCTGCCCAAGTGAGTTGCCACCCATGACAGTGGGACGGGATGGGGCTGCCTACCAATGAGCGGTGCAGTGGAAGTCGGGATATGGCTACATTTCGTAACTTACTTGAGGGCTTGCGTGTAAGGAGGTAGTGAAGCCCGAGACATTCTCCGACGTCGGTTTCGTGACGAGAGAATCACCTGGCAACCAACGAATCAGTGGCAGGAGGATAAGTAAGCCCTCATGCGCAGGTTTCAGACGCGCGCGCATGTGCTTGGGCTCAGTATCGGTAGTGAGCTATGAGGATGGTAGGACAAGCAGTAGATTACGTGTTGCTCGATATATGCAAATCGTGCGTGACAAGCCGTGGTGAGGGTCATCTAAGACGATGGTTGATCAGTGCATGGGCAGCATAATGTTACGAACCAACAAGAAGGACAAAGGACGAGGCCCATTGACAGGCCCAACAGGACAGAACGGGAATAGGAAGAAGCCGTAGGAACGCACGGACCATACGAAGGGGACGGATCACGGGATCAGAAGCATCACGTGATGAATATGATGGATCAGGAGCATATCCAGCTTATCCACCTCATCAGTGAGGGAGAGATTGGATATATAAGGATGGACATTTCCTAGCTAGACAGATAGACAGTCTCTATCTTAGTGATCAATCTAAGCATCTTAGCCAACCCTAAGGTGAGAGAAATCTCCTGATGACTCGACTATTCAGTGATCCCCTGGATCAGACCAAGCCCCAGCATCTGAGTGTCTTCTAGTTGACAGAAGCCTCTATCGTCCTTTGTGTTGACTTACCTCAGAACATAAACCCTATAGAACCCTTTAGCCTTATAGGTTAGAAGGCTCGTCACACATAAGCCATAAGGGGTTGGCGCCCTTTTGAAAGACAGCTTCTCTCAAGTTGGAACTCTAAACCATAAACTCAAGGCATTTCATTCACCAAAAATACATGAAGCCTCCCGTGCTTTCCATGCCAAAGACGTCTCGCCGAATAGACCACTTCGTGAACCAAGCAAACCAGATATATGACGAGCTATGCATTCAGTCCGATCCCGTCCCGTCCCTAAGCCGTAGTGACATTTCCTAAGCTCCCGGCTCCGGGCCATTCTTAGTACATGGTATATCCCGGTGCCGCCTCACAAGTCACCCAGGGCCTTCCCCACAACCCGCAGACCCGGGAAGGGGAGTGGGCCGGCGTAGTTGCCCTGCTCGAAGCGGAAACATCGCTGGGTAGGGATATAGGATCCGCTCGTCTTGGCTCGTTTTACGCACCAGTCGTGGATGCAGATGATGTCCTTGCCTGCTTCTGTTCGCAGATAATTAGCTGTCTGTATGGGGCATGTCATCTTGGAGGGATGACTTACGATCATCACGACTGTCTGCTGCCAGGGACGCGGCGTGCATGTCGTCTGTCAGGTTTCCATCCTTGAGGTTGTAGCAGCTGATGTCGAGGAATCCCGACTTGAGGCCCCAGAAGAAGGATGTTGTCTTCTCGTTGAGTTGCTCTGGTGTCCAGTCGGAGAAGTCGAATGTGACTTTTGATGTGTCAGTATGCTGGATTTCGTTGAGGTGTATATCATAGGTCAACTTACCAGAATCGTAAGATGATATTAGTCTGATCATGGCTTGACTGTTAGGTGTAACTGCTCCTTGCTGTGCGGCAAATTGTTCGACGGAAGCTGTGGCGTACTGTTGCCAGTTGGTCTGGGTTAAGACGGTGGTCGACATTTTGGGAGATGAATGAAGTCGAAGGCTAAGTGGAATACTCGGGTCGATGTTGTGAGTCGGATGTGGATGCTTCGGAGAATGGTCTAGAGAGTGAGGCGTGTTGCTCTGATTCTTCTGTGAATGAGTTGCTATGCGATGGAGCTCTTTCCTCAAGAGACACGATGCTGATCTTTATATGTCTCTACGAGAATGCCATACCAGCACTGCGGTGACCATCGGTATCGTACCGTACCCGTACCGATCATGCACGTCTTTGCGCGGCTCGGATCACGCTTTATGACGCCACCCCCGGGGAGATTGCCGCAAGGAAGCCACGGCATGAGATGATATGATGTGCTACGCAGCCATTGGCTCATGTCCTGTCATCCAAGCCATACCAGGCTGACATGGTGATGGATAAGACCAAGCTGCATTTGCGAAACGGGACTACATTGCCTCACTCGCGTCTCCGCTGTCCGTGATTGGCCCTTGCCGACGGATCAAGGGTGCCGCAAGTCGAGATCCCCTCACCACAAGGTCCTCGCTTGAAACATCTGGGGTAACAAGGGGGGCTGTGGGAAAGGCGGTGTCCCTCGGCCACGTGGGAGCGAGCGGTATGCCACAGCCGTCCGGAGATTTCGGCCTTTCTTGAGATACCAGAAACTCCGGTTTCTATACCCAGCCACGGAGTACGGCACCCGGTGGAACCCGAGCGCTGGCCCCAATATGCATCCGGGCCCAGAGCTCCAGTGTCCCGTGCTCCCAAGGCCTTGGATGTCCAATGAGCCCGCTCCGGGATCCCCAGACTCGTCAGTGCGCGACGTTTCGTGAGAGCACCGAGCCTCGAAAGCTTAGTTGGAGGTGACGTCTGCAGATTCGTGGCACCAAACTCATCACCTTGTCACGATCTACGTCGGCGGAGTTATGGGTCGAGCTCGGGCTGTACAACTGACGTTCAGTTGATTTCATACAGTACCTGGATAGTCGGCGAGGCAGCCAGGTCCATGCAGGCTCGCTCGGTCGATGATGTCGCATGATAGTTAGGCCCATTGTCAAAACGGTGTCAGGTCCGTTGGCGTGCTGGTGAATTTGGTACCGTTCATTCGTCGCGGGTGACGCGATCATTGATGTGAGTGTCGTTTTCAGAACATCCATGTGAGGTGCTTGTTGAGGTGTGTACGTTCGACAACGATAGCATCCCGAATCCCATGCTTCGGCTCCAGTATACCCAAATAACCTTGCATTCGTTGGAAACGAATACGACCCAACGTGACCCATGGGAAGCAGCGGCCCATGTAGATGGTCGGTGGGCCTCGTGAGAGGCGCGGAGAGTTTCACAGCTTATGGATACCAGAGCGAGGCACTTCTCGCCGAGCCTCGGTGGACGTGGGCGGTACATTGGCGTTGACGCCTAAACGAACCGCCTAAACGAACCCGAAAAGGTGACAAGCAGAGTCGAAATGAACCCAGACCACATGGCTTGCAGGTTCGAGTGCCATTGGCCGCCCGATGCTAGCAACGCAGTGAACGAGCAACCCATGACCATACAGCCGGTGATTGGCAGAGAGCCGCCTCGAGGTGAGATCTGTGGATGACTCACTTGAGTCACTTCATCCTGTCCCGTTTGTCGTTTTGGGCATGCGGCCTGCTGCGGTATCCAGGTGTTCGTTCATGCGACATCGGATGCCCACTTGATCACGGTCGACAGTGGCAAGCGCTCATCGAGATGTTGTCGAAATGATGGTAGTAGACGTTTTCCCTTTCTATGACTATGTGCGATTATCGGTCGTTACGACGTGAGGAGAAGAAAAGTGTGAGCTTACTAAACCGTGAATGCAGATCAACTGACCACTTGAATTCCTAAAAGGGTAGTCGATAGTCAGAGCTTCAGGGCTTAAGCTCAATTAAGCTAGCCACACAGTAGCAATCACCAATTGATAATTACGGTCGCGCGACAGCAGTACCTGCAACTCCACCTAATTTGCACCTGTGAGAATTGTGGTGGCTTTGGTGGTCAAAGGGGTCAATGGAAGCAGCTGGATGAAGGAGATTTGTTAGATGCTCTAAGGATAGGCCCTGCTTTGTGGTTTGAGTGTGTGTTTAGTACCAAATCAGGCCCTCTGACCCATAGCCAGAACAAGCAAGCAACCAGGGAATCTACCCTTATTCCGCACCGATACAGGATTCCCGACAGCACCCATCTAAAAGTATTTCTATCAATCCAGCTTTAAACTGGCCGTTAATCTAGCTGCACCACCTGCAGTATTCTGCGCAGCAAAACCTGGCTGTGTCCTCACTAAGTACTCAGTGATTAATTACTGAGGAAATCTACCAATGTTGTTGGATTAAGGGTGAGCCCAGAGGGCTCCTTGACAGGTAGACAACGGAATCTAGTTGTTCCGTCCCGATCCAGCCCCCTCTGGCACCAAGCTGCCATGGTCGCACAAGGACACTCTAGATGTTGAATACACGGATGTCTGTTTGTTGGTTTTGTATTTAACGTGGGGGGTAGCTCTTCAGTAGTGCAAACCACGCCTCCCAGAGCCTCTGTATCGCAGGGTTGTGGAGGTCTCAAGATAATAAGTACAGTCAGTCCCGCTCACGGGCCCATCCCCGTTGTTGCGGCGGTATGACCTTGGGATCATCCATCTGGTTCTTTAAGAAAAGCTATCTATCGGGGGCAGATTATTGAAAAGAATTTGCTCTTCTTTATAAATTTTGCCTATTCTGTGCTCCTCTCTCCTAAGTATTGTAAACAAACTATCTTAGGCGAGTACCTAGGTAGTAGCTGGTTTTTTCCTAGTCTCTTATAAAAGAAAATATGTTATGGTGTTTTCTTTTTACCACAGCTGTAGTGATCATTTGAGTCTGTATACCCAAAGCGTTCATGGTATCTGGCAAAGTCGCCATATCCAGATCTGGCCGCTAAAAGTCTGTATAAAGTACTCCTCTTAAAAGATATAAGGTCTCTTTCAGTTATTATATGTGAGTATATTTCTTGATATCTAGGTTCTGATTGGTCTTTTTACCATTAGTTGAACTCTTTTTTGCCCTTTCTTTTGAGATCTCTCTTGACCCAAGAGATTATAAAAAGGTTTGTTGTGTCTGTTTCTAATATGGTACTCTCTTTTGTTAGTATATTAATAGTTTCATTGCTATCAATATCTCTGTGTCCAGGAATCTACTTGACGGTCACTCCAGGAGTGTGTGCTGTGACAAGTTCTTGAAATCGTAGAAAAATGTTCTGTGATGTCTTGGGTGGAGTCCTATTGAGCCCATCTATCACTGACGTGTTGTCCAGGCAGACATATAGCTATTTTCTGTGTCCAATTGCCCTGGCTGTTACAAGACTTTGGAAAGCATTATGGACTTCAGTATCTACTACTTCTGCTTGGAGAAGTCTGTCCTTTTCCCGGTATACTTCTTGTGTAGTGCCGCCTTTCCTGATAGTATAACCCCATCCAGTGCGGGTTATACCTTGGTCGTCCAACTATGATCTATCTGAATAAATGACAAGGTTAGTGTTCATGTTTCTCTCCTGTAGCCATTGCTTTAAGAGCTTTGTTTCTTTGTCTTTGTCTTTACGGATTGGGGGCTTTTTTTATGATGGCTTGGTAAGTATTGGTCTCTGGAAGTCAGGGACTAGCTGGAAGCTCCTTTGTAACCTTGTTGGATTCTTGTGAGCTTGTATTTAGAGCCTGCCAATAAGAGGGTGTCTCTGGTCTATTCATCCTAGTCAGAGGCCGTGACGTCGTCTTATTAACTCTGCAAGAACTCCTGCTGGGGGAATCTACGATTCAAAGTATAAGATATGTCCAGGGTGTGTTTTCCAGACTGGCAAGATAGCCCTGATCGCTGTTCGTAGTACGGCATCTATTGTTCCAAGAAGCCCCTTAATGCGATATGCTGATGTCCCACCTAAGCTCCCAACTTTCTCGATTCCTGGGTACCAGGCCTCTAGGCCGTGTGTAAGAATAGGAATAACACAAGCTTTCATAACCCTCTTGATTGACTTTACTGGAAGTCCTTTGACTGTGTTGCATAGTCCTTGAAGATAATTTGTTACCTTATTAGCTTTCTTGGCCCAGTAAGAAACGTGATTTTTGAAGTTTAGTTTTCTATCCAGGGAGACACCCAGCCATCACATGGAGTCCTTTGCTGTTTTGTTTATTGTCCTGTGGCAGACTGGAGGGTTGTCTGAGTTCTTTTTCCTTGAGAAGTGCATGATCTCAGTTTTGTCAGGGTCAAATTCAATAGTGTTGTTATATCCCCATTGACTGAGCAAGTAAAGATTTTCAGAAGTCTCTATAGCTGTTTCTTTAAGGCTCTTTCTAATGCAGAGAGTCGCTAGGTCGTCTATATATCCAAAACGTCTCTTTTTCATACCAAGTCGGGCACAGATTGGCTCTATACAGCATGTAAAGGATTGGAGAGGCTGGTGAGCCTTGTGGTAGCCCACAAGTGAGAGCTTTAATATCGGTTACAATATCTTCAAACCGAACCCTTGCGGACCGCTCAGACATGAATGATTGGACCCATCTTATGAGAAAGCCCGGCCAGCCCTGTTCTCTCATGCGAACCATCAGCAGTCCCATTAGGGCAGCATCAAAGGCCCCTTTCACATCTGACGTGACTACCATTACAACGAGGCCTTGGTCGAGGGCCTGCTTAATATCGTGTATGAGTGCAGCTACCAGGTCAGTGGCAGAGCGCTTTGGTAGAGCTCCAAAATATTGTGGAGCTAGAATTCCAAGTTTGACAACAAACCAGGTAATTCTTTTCGCGATAAGTCATTCTAGGCCTTTGCCAAGACACGACAATAGCGATATTGGTCTATAGGCCCTGGGATTGGAGTAGTCTTTCTTTCCTGGTTTTGAGATTATCACTACCTCAGCTACTTTGAATGGTTCAGGGTGGTGTCCAATCTGTAAACAGGTCTGGAAAAGGGCTCTGATATGTTCCACAATGAATGGCCAACAAGCTTTCAGAATCCCTACTGTGAGGGTATCTATTCCCGGGGA